CGTTGGGAAAAATGATTGAGTAAAATCAGTTTGTTAACACCTAGCGACGAGAGGGCGTTTCCAACATGGACCGATAATTAAGCATGCGTCACGTTGGACTGCATCCGAAATCCCGCCACCCCCACCGCACTGTCAACCACCCAATGGTTCTCTCTCTCTCTCTGTTTGATCGCTTCATTAGCGATAGTATGCGATATTTAAGTGTAATTATGACAACGACTAAATTGTGTCCAGCTTCTTGTAGGAACATGGCAACATGTCTTCATTAACCCGCTTGTAACTGGCTAACAAATGGTGGAGGTAATGGCATTGTTATTGTTATGATTATTTGCCTGGCTGCTTGTTAGTTTATTTGTTTGCCATTTCGATTGACATTCACTTGCCACATTGCCACACATCAGATACAGATACAGATACAGATACAAATCGTAGAAAACTGTGGCAGCATTTTTCGTTACGTTCGGCTAGCTGTGAGTTTGCGTTTGTCCGGCTTTTCATGTGTACCCAACAAGTTTTTCACTTTTATTTATGATGAAGATGTCAATCTGGCGGCCTATTGCCTCTGTCGGCATGTGTTTGTTTTTCCAATTGCCTGCCTGGTCTACTTTGTTGGCCGCTCTAAGCTGGCCATCATTGGCCACTCTGAGGTGGCTGTCAGTGTCAGTGTCACAGACGAGTTTTCCATTTCGCCTGCGGGCCTGGGAAAAGTTCACTCCACAAAAAAGTTAAGCACACATTTGGATTCGGCATCGAATCATGTTGACTCTTTTAATTGGATCTCTAGGCCGGTAATTGATTTGCAATCAATTTAGGTTCACACACATAAAAATTATCCATCGAACTAGTCTAAAACTTTATTTGTTTATTTATTAACAAATAAATAACAAACCATTTTTTAGAATTTTTATAGCCATATCCGCATAGCTTTTACATTCATTTTGAATTCTCTCGGATTCAAATAAATTTATAGAGCAACGGATTAGATCGAATGCACATGACTGCGCAATACTCTATCCACAGCGGAGTTAATTAGGGGTAAATCTCAATTTATCTATTTTTGCGGATTACCAAAACAAAACCATAAATGTAAAACGACTTTTATAAGCTCTAAGATCAGAAACGGACATGGCTCGACCAATTATGCGTTGGATTATGTTTACGAGGTCAAATAAATATCTTTATTCAGGTTTTATAAGTACTATATAGTATGTCCTATATGAAACACTATCTGATTAGCCTCATTTGTCCGGCGCAAGTTATTTTGCTTCAAATTTTAGACATCATTTCCCGCACGTGCAAAATTTAAATCTATTCATGCTCTCTTGTCGTCCATGTCCCCAGTCTTATGAATAGATTCTTGAAATTCAGTTTTGAAGTCCATCGAATTATGAACAAAAATTTAGTGTCAACGTTTCCCCTTCTTCAATCTCGTAGTGGAAATTAAGGATCTCTAATTTTGTAAAAATCCCTTAAACTTTCAAAACTGATGGAAAGAACGCAACGCGTAGGATAAAATGATTTGAAATATTAAAAAAAATTTTCATATATAGATTTTATTTATTGAAAATATTAAGAGGGGATAATACTGAGAATTTGGTATGCTTAACTATTAAATGGATATATTTTGCTAATTGACATTTTATTCATAATTTTACCCAATTAAAATTACATTCTAATTATGTGAAACCATATTAAAATAATACTCGACTCGCTTTGACCATCATCCAACTAAAGTTGTTGAACTCTCGCCAGCATTTCCCGAAATGCAAATTTCCAAATAACGAATTTAAGATAAACAACAAGTTTTACGACCAAATTTCATTGAACGTTTACCCAATACAAAGGTAATTTGAAGATCCCACTAAGAGCATGTACGCCTATACGACTCCAGCTCTGCTTGGCGGCACGTGTTGCGCTTACAAATGATGTCCAATCTCTATGGCGGCAACGGTAGTCCAGAAAGTATCAACATTGCCGAAAAGCGCGGCACGTATGTGTCACCGCCGTGGCACACTCACGAAATCTCTTGTGTGGGGCCGTTGGATGTCAGAAGCCGTGAAGAGCCAAAGGCAAGACTCATGAGTCGGACTACCGACTTTCGTCTACGTTTTGGGCTCCGGCTGGAGCTGTGGCTGGGGCTGGGAGTGAGGCGTGCGGCTATTTTATGTCAAAATAATTGTTAATCCGCAAGGAGCAGCAACTTTTTGGGAGCTTCGTCATCGTCTTCAGCTGCGGATACGGCTACGGCTACGGATTCAGATATTTACGAGTAGCTGTTGCACTCGAAACGTGACAAGCTTATGAAGATTTATGGAGTTCGGGCTGCCGCCCGTCGACATTGTCGCCATTTCAATTCTCACGATCGGTGTTCGATCGACAGTTTTTTTTTTTGTCTCTTGATTTTTTTTTTTGTTGTATTTATTTTGTTCGTTTTACGTTCTGTGGCGTACACAATTTTGTTTGGTTAATTTAAGTACAAAGTACGTGCAACTCAGCAGGCATTGATTTTTAATTTGTCCATTAAAATGCAATCATCACGCCCGTCGCAACATGCCCGGCTCCCGGTTCCCAGCTCCCACATCTCGTGCTGCCACCTATTGGACAACGTTGTGTCTCTGCCAGCTCCTTTGTTTTAAAATTTACCAGAAAATATGGCACCATAATTTAATCATTTTATCTCTCACTGCGTGTTACATATAAATTTTGCCCACTCTTTATTTTGATCAGGCATGCAGGCTGCATTTTTCGATTCGCAATCGATTCGCATCGAGCATTTTAATATCTATTTTGAAGTGCTCCATTTTCGTTGTTTCAACAATTCCAAATGACACAACTGTGAGTTGACTTTCAATTAAATAATATTGTGAAATTATTTCAACAAAAAAAAAAAAAGGTTGGTGACTTCATAGACCAATTATGGGCGTACAATTTATAAAGGAACTACTCTGGACTTTTCGCACAAATAGAAATTCATATTGTTTGTGAACATTTTTGAATAAAAAAGTACCTTGACTCTTCTAGTGCAAGACAGTTATGTTACTCCAGTAAACTGATTTCCTTTTCCCGCTAACTATCCACTGTGCTTAGCATAGACCCAAGAGAAGCGTCAGCAGCTTCTCCATTTAGGGACGCGTAGCCACAGGATAGACACATGTTTGACATTATCAAACCGCAGCATCCACTGCTGCTTGCATTTTTAATGATGATCACATGAGGCGAGCTGCATTGAGCACGCATTCAGAACAACATGTTGCACGGGGCCAGCAGCAGGGGCTGTCAAAAGGAACAAAAAAAAAAAGGAAAACAGGAAAAAAACAAATGGAAATATATTCAAAACGAGCTGCGAACAGTTGTGATTTTCAGTAGTGTTTGCCTCCAGGGACAACTGTTGCGCTGGCTGGAAACTGGAACTGGGTTCGCAGATTGTGGATCGAAGATCTGGGACTGGGACTGGCATTATTTCCGCTTTGAGCACCGTTTGTTTCTCTCATTCTCATTGCCAGTTTTGTTTTGATTCTTGAGCCGCGACTGCTGCTTCCGCATCCTTGTTGTTGTCTGATGCTGTTGTATATTTTGCGCATCTGTCGTTGAGACAGGTACAGGCTCAGGATCACAGTGCAACAGCTACGCACCTTTTGTGCTGTTCGGTTGCTTCCTCTGCGCGTATTTTTGCAGACCGGAAGTTTTTATGTCTTTTGTAACTAATCGTCAAGGATCACAGATTTCGGCAAACTACAGCAAGGCGGGTGGTTAATGAGAAATGTCCAAAATATTAGTTACAGGCCTGTTTCCCAGCCAGTTCAAAGGTTGAACAGGTTTCCTGTTTTACCCAATTTGCATGGCCGGAAGTTGTTGGCCCTTGGCTGAAAGGTGATGCCAGCGATCTGTTTGAGATGGTATTTAACAACGGAATATATAGTTCTATGTCAACTACTTAAGCAGACTTTTGTGGAATAAATAACATGGAAAACAATCAGATATTAAATGCAAACTTTTCATGGCGAACCTTGATATCGTGAACATATTCAATTGAATGCTGGCTGCCAACTTCTACAAATCAATCGCTTTGATGGCTATTAACATGGCTTAATTTTTTATGAATTCCCCCATGAAATCATTAAAAACATGAGCAAAACAAGCAACGAAATCGACTGGGACAACAGCTTGAATCTAGATAAGCCGTGCAACAGGATAAAGCTGCAGTGTGGCGAGGACAAGCGTTAACAAGCAGCAGGAGCAAACGCAACAACAGGCACAATGCATTGAAAATTATGATATAAATTATACAATACACATTGCAACATTTAAAATGTATGGAGCACCGGCCGCCGGCTGGTCAGGACGAGGACGTGCAGGACAATAGCGCGTCCAACTACAACTACCTGCTGGCTGTCAGCTTGAACCTGCCGATGCTTATCGCCGGCTTAAGCGTCCCAAATGAGTCTGGCCCCAGCGTTCCGGCAAGGTGAGGACCTTGTCTTGCCAGCGTGACGCGCGATTAGAGATTAGGGCAAAGTCTGCACGCTCAAGGACGAGGACAGACATAGTCCAAGCAGGAACAGCCAGCCAGACGGCCCCTATGATCGCATCGGCCTTAAGCAGGATTCCATTAAATAGAGAATGTCTTGCTGTTAGACAAATGCCTTCATAGAAAAATGTCTGAATACGTATAATCTTACAATGGTTTTCTCAGCAACAAAAATTGTATGAAAACGTACAAAAATTGATAAGAAAAGTTAAATTATAATCTATTTGGCGATCGTATCTAATTTTCGAACGATTCTTAATGGCTTTATTGTGTGACAAATTGTATTCATTCCATTTTCAGAATACATTACAAGAAATTCTAGAACCCCTTTAAGTTACGACGGACAGTTTCTTCTTATCGATAAATATATATATATATATATTCAAACAGAGACCGAAGCAGGTTTAATGGAACATGTTTTATTTTTTATCTAAGGAAATATTCTATAATATACTTATATTCAAAAATTAAATTGCTACTATTGCAACGCTAAATGCTTGAAAAGCTAAAAAACTTATTACTTATTTACATCAGAATTGTTTATTGCTGCTGCACTTGAACCGGCGACTTCTCATTAGTTAGTCCGACGCTCAGACACCCAACTTATACAGACTCTTGTCGTCACGTTTGCAAAGCTCACCTATATAACTGACTTGTTTTTGATGTTTGTCATAGAATTCCGATCCAAAAGAAAGCCTCTGTAAAAAAATACTACAATATCAAACAAAATATTTTCTTATTCAAACTATATAAGCATACGTCACACATTCAGCTTGCGCCCTGAAGCGAACTTAAAATACGAACAGTCGCGAATTGTCAAAGGCTTAAGAAGAGAGTAGGGCAAATTTGGAAATAACAAAGGAAGGATTGAGGTGACGAGTGCTGTGCAAGGATAATCGCTATTGTGGAGCTTGTTTACGTTTAGATGAAGCCAATTGTCAGAGAACAAAGCACTCTTAAGAACCAAAAGGATTAGAGTAGAAACCATGCCCGATAGTTATATAACATTTCGAAGGTTTCCAGCTGTCAATGTGACATTATGTGGGTGCTCGACAGGATATTTGTTGGCCATCGCCTGACATTGAAAGCTTTAAAATCGCATATGCTAATGAGAGCAACAGCAGCTGATGGTCTCAGCGGGCGACAGGATATATTGGTTCAAGAAATTTCTATGAAAAAACAAGATCTCATCATTTTTTAGTTGTCGAAAAAATGCCATAATAAGGACACGCACGCTCCAAGCCAAAGTGACAGGATCAGCGCCAGCGACAGCTGCTGGCGACAGCACATGCCTTTCAACTAAAGCAGGATACGCATATCCTGCGTTTAGCATTAAAAATTCGAGATTTTTTCTATTAAAAAATCGTGTGTGCAGACGGCACGCGCTTGACCTTGACATTGTTCCTAGGCACAGTCCTGGCTGACTCGCACTAAACTGGGACTGTACATGTGCAGCCAACGCAGCGAACACAGCCGGCGGCTAGCGGAGGAGTCAAGCGTTAATTGTAAGGACACGAACAGGGATACGAGCACATGTACGGGCACAGTCTACCTAGCAGCGTTCTTGCTCGCATGCTGCTTACATTTTTTTATGTTGCTCATCGCTTTACTTGTTTTTTGTTTGTAAGTATCCTGTTCCAAATGTCCTGCGTCCTGCGTGTGCATGCGTACAGCGACAGCAACAGCAACAGCAGAAGCAGAAGCAACAACAACGGCAACAATGCCAAGAAAAGACAACAGCAACAAAAAAAATTGAGCGGGGCAGATGTTTCCTCAGCAGGCTGCAAGCAAAAATAACACCACGCATGATCAGTTGCTCGCCCTGTCCTTCTCCGTACTGCTGCTGCTGCTGCTTTTTAATGCTTAGTTGTGTTTTTTAGTGCGTCGCACTGAAATTGTGGAGCATTGTCCTCCACGGCTCCGGCACGCATTAAGACCGAGGCTCGAGTAACTGGCGCACAATGCTGCCAACTTTTTCTAGTAAATCTGCTGACTATTGTTTCCGCCTCACAGAAACAGAAACCAAGGATTCATTATCATGTTGAGCAGCATAGACATAGAGTGCGGGTGCCAGTTGCTATTCAATCTGATAGATGTCTAGTTTTTAGCTGGTTCGACATCACTTCGCCTATATTTTATATTATACTTTTCTTTTCAAGTAATCAAGGTCTTCATTTGTTATGCAGCTCAGGCTTGGCGGCACATGCTGGTCAATTTCATGTTTTCATGCACAGACAAAAAATAAATCATTTTTTAAGAATTTATTCCCCAACTGCAATCATATTTTATGGCTTATAATAATATATCATCACAAGTACAGGGATACAAAACAACAATAAATACTTTCAATTAACGTGGATCAAAAGTACAAAAAAAAAACAATTCAATTTAGACTGAATGACTTATTCTAATTACAAATCGCAAAAGCTAATCAAAAGATGTTTAGAAACTTTATCTCCATTTCTACTAAAAATCTTGCTTCTATTTACTTTAACACGCGAGCCTGGCCTCTGTGTGGGGGCAGATGTTAACTCTGTTCTATAATGTTGGCTATTCATTATGTGTATGATTCTTGCATTAATCCATCGGCAGCTGTATTTGTTGCCTAGCCCCCACAATATTTGCACAACATAAATGTATGTTGGGTTCTCGATAACTCAATCGACGCACACAAAGCCTACAAAATTAGATATGATTTTCAGGAATAACCCCTTGGCAATTGTATGCAATTGCCTGCAAATTTATACAATTTTGACAATATTTTTGCAGCTTGCGTTGTCACCAACGAGTGCGACGGGGCCCAAACCCTTTGGCAAACCTTTGGCCAATTGTGACAATAGCGACAATTGCTGGCGAATCGAAGGATTGCAGTTTGCGTCTGCAATTGAGTGTTTGCGCAAACATGACCCAGAAATGTCTCTGGACTATTGTCAACTGTGTTCTTTGTATTTGAAATCCTTTTTTCATTTCAGATTTGCCTTTGATTAGCAGTGCTCGCGGTGCCATGTGCCGAAAGTCTTTGAAAGTCATTGTTGGAATTTCAGGTTTTCAGCTTTTGTGTTAGTTTTCGATATGGATATGTCAATAGAGGTTGCGATATGTTTGTCCAATCGAACTGTGAAATTTCAGTTGATGTTGATTTCAGATCTGTGCATCTGCATAGTTCGCCTTTGTTCTCAGCGTATTCTTTCAGTTTAAAGAGTTTTACGTTTTACGTGCCGCGGGCGAATCCTTTGGCCTTAGCATATGGCTCAGCTTCTTGGAACCTATAGAGAACTGTCTATTATTAAGCCATTGCCTGTTATAAAAGTATCATAAATCGTCGAGCAGCAATTCACAGCTACTTTGGCTGATTATGATGCAATGGTCTACGCTCTGGCATTGTTGCGCATCCAAACACATCTGTTCTGGCTGCTTGGCCATAAACCAAATACCTTAAGTGCCGAGAGCTGAGCAGAGAACTTGCGCCAAGGTGCAAGACATGCTATCCTAGAAAAATGATCCTTGGCGAGCAGGTTCAGTGCGTTCCGCCAGGGCTTTGTTTATTTTTCTAGTTTGCACTGGCCTCAACTGACCCTGTTTGATCCTGTGGCCTGCAGCCTGCAGCCTGTTGCCCATCGCCTGCTGCCTGTTGCCTGTTGCTTGTTCTGTGGCTTTTGTTTCCGCATTTGCAGCTGCCACGCATTTGGAGATATTTGCATATGCGCACGCACTGTGGGTGTTTCTTTCCCGGTGTCTGTTCCGCTGGTCTGGCCACACAATGCCCTTCTACTTTATTACTTTTTACGCATCACCTGTCCAGGGATCTGACCCTGGCAATGCCACGTGCTTTGTTAACCCAACTGACCTGCACTCGTATTTGTTTGTACTGACATTTGAGCCAGCTTAGCAATAGTTTTGCTCTTGAGTCAACGTGGTGGGTATTTCATTCGCAGCGTTCGTAATTAAGAGTGCATAGATGTAATCTACGTAGAGAGATGTAATCCACGTAAGCTGCAGATTTTTACAAATTTGTACATAGGCAATCACTCCTATCTTTAGTTCTTCATCTTACAACTAATCCAGCGGCCTAAGAGCTCCAGATGCATGAAGATATCTATTGCTAAGTTCGCATAGCCAGATAATTGTAGAGTTAGGCTTAAAGGAAAGACAAGTTTCAGTAAAACAAATATATTGTTATTGCTGTTAAGACTTTCAACAATTTCAATCTCTATTTTCCATGGAATCTGATGTTTATAAAATATCAATTTTTTTCAAATTTTATTCTTGACATTACACAGAACTTTGAAAGTAGTTGTCGTGCATCAATGTGTACTATCTAGGGTTTTGTTAAGAAAATACTTCTATTCATGCAGTGGCGGTAGATATTTATGAAACTATTCCCTAGACATGGATCTTCCTTTACTGGAAAGTTCTTTGTCAAAAAGCAGTGTAGCATGCTTTGAGATTTAATATACTGTGTACTATTATACAACGACTACCTTTCATCGGAATTCAATAAACTGCAACATGAAAGCATGTCCCTTCTATGCCCCAATACATGTTCCTTGCAGCGTCCTGTTGTGACACTATTAAATACGCATTTATGGCAGTCGATTGGCCGCCATTAGAGACCAAGGGCTGCATAGAGCGTGCGTTTTAATAAATTTTATATAAATTTGACAAAATGAATCAAAACAATAAGCGAAGCCGTAGCGTCAGGACTAGCGGGCAAATGCAAGGACACGCACGAAATGCGAAACAATTGCAGCACGCGGCAGGACACAAAACCGACGACAGCAGAGACAAAGGGCCAAGTACTCGAGTGGACAATGGGCCTGGCCTGCCCTGGCCTGGCCAGGCCTGACTTGATAAGAATAAGAAACGCCGACCAGGCACCAGGCGGCTGCAGGACGAACGCAGCGACAACGCTGCCGCCTGCTGCATGCAGCACCTGGTGTTTGTTGTTTACAAGCCGGCCAGCAGCCAGGAGCAAGGATAAAGACTAAGACGAAGACGTTGACGCTGACGCTGACGCTGACGCTGACGAACCGGTACAGTTTGGCAAAAATACTGCAAGATGCAACTGCGCACGTGCTGTGCGCTCCAATGCCAGGATTGGTATCTCTAGCCATCTTGTGACTGATTGTGATACGCGGCCACTTGAAGGACATGCATGCATACAGCCAGTCTGCTGGCAGCTAAAAAACAGCCGCCACAGCCCACACTGGAAATGGGAACGGCTCAATTATGAGCGTCAAATTAAATTTTGGTAACACATTGCCAGCAACCCTTTGGGCCAGCAGGCTGCATCATCTGCGGCTGCTGTCTCTAGCCGTCTGGCGGTGGTCAGTCCGCGTCCAGGTGCTAAATCCCTAACCCGCTTCGATAATTACGCCAAGCGCTGCCGCCGCCGCCGTTTGACTGGCTTTGAGCTGAACTCAAACCCAAGTCCAAAACCGATCTCGAACTCGAACTCGATACCAAACCCGAGCCCGAACCCTTCGGCAACTGTTTCAATTTCAACTCTTTGCTTGGCGTCTGCTGCTATAATTTGATGGCATCTGTAAGCGAGGGTTTTTTTTTTTGCCTTTCATTTGTTAAGTCTTGTCTCTCTGCCTTTTTAGCCACGTAGATTTTCAACAACGTCGTTCATTAGTCCGTCCTTTTTTTCGGGCTCCTGGCCCTCACTATTTTTTGGCAGTTGGCCATTACGCATGCACTGGCAGATGCTCTTGACTTGGTTCGCTTCTCTGTTTTTTGTTATTTATCCATTTGGTAGAAGGGTCAACTGTCCGTTGGATGCCGCTGGCTGCCGCCTGTAAACAACACCTTTGATTTCAGCTGAGGCTGGCAGTCAAATTGAATTGCTTCTGCTGCTCCATCTGCTCCTGCCTGCTGCCAGGCAGCAGTTAGAAGGGTTTGCAGTTTGTCCTGCAGGTTGCTCCTTCTCGATGTTTGTGTAGATAAGCAGCCGAGTCTCGGACATGTTGTCAGCCAAATTAAAAAAATACAACTTGCAGCCGTTCTTTGGTTTTAAGTCCATTTGCTAACAAAGTATTAAATTCATAAAGCGAACACTTAGACTCAGCCGGCCTGGGCTTGGGCAAGCCAGTCGGACTGCCTTGGTGGAATATTACTGATTGACTGACTGACTGATTGAACGCCATCCACACGAGTCTCTTCAAAGACTTGTAAAATTATACGTTTTTATATTATTTGAAAATTTCAATCTATGATTTACTAGTAAATAATTTGTGCTACTCTTCCTAGCTAAAAATTGCAAATCATAGACAACTGTGCAAATAGTAAAATTACGCACAAATCCTTTGTATAAACAAAGAGCATATAAATCATTTACGTAAGACGAGGACAATTTGCAAGAAGCTGTCAGCAGGCGACAAAGCAAAGTAAAAACAATAAGAGACAATTTGCAGGGAAAAACTAACAATGATTAGGCGAGCGTAAGGTAAGTCAGTCGGTAGCCAGGATATCTGTTAGCAGCAGACGGACAAATCAAACAACTGTCCGTCCGCTGGCATATGGCCGCTGCCGTTGACGATTTTCTATAGAACTATATGGAACTCAAGCCCTGCCATGGCAGTCGCTGGTCAAGCATCAGTGGCATCGACGATCCGATCCGTTGTCGTTATGCCCTTTAAGTGGCCAGGTCTACTTTCAGGACCCGTTCGGACAGCGCCGTCTGCAACGCCGCATGGGTCGCCATTGCCAATGCCGTATCGGTTATCCTTATCCCGAGAAAAGGGACCGGGAACAGGCAGACAGGCATAGCCACTGAGCAAACGAATCACTGTATCCGTGTTGTAGGTGTTGCTCGGCACAACCCACCCAAGCGTCGGGTCTGGTGCGCTGCATAACGATCCTGCGGTGCCGTTTGCATTTGTCATTCTTGTGGTTTTTGCTCGGCTGCCTTTTGTTCGGCCCAACACATCTTTCGCCATCTTTCGCTACGGCAGCCGCATAAATTGTGTTCGTATTACTTTCAATAATTTCTTGCAATTGTTTGTCAAGATTCCTTTTTGGCTTCCTCTAATTGTAATTGAGTTCTTTTCCCTGAAAGAGTATCGAATGTTACACAGAAGCTGCTCATTTGCAGAAGCTTCTCAATTGCCGCAGTCAAGATGAAGTATGATAATCATATCAGTAATCTTTTAGTTAAAATAGATTGGTTTCTCTTAGTTATTCAATCAGCTGGTATTTCTAAGCCTTGCCTTGTCCAAGTTTCTTTTGGATTCAAATATACGCTTACCATCTTTGAGTCTCAAGCTTTATTTTTTAACAACTTCCTGCTCAGTTTTATCCCCTGGTGCGAAGCTTATAGCCAAAAAGTTAAATCGATAAAAAAATGTTATTTAAAAGGGTTGGATTTTATGAAAAGTCTGAAACAATTTAGCACAGAATCGTTTTCAGGCAATTTTTTACAGTTGCTGGTGGATTTACAGAAGTCGCTGAAAAAGAACATATTATATTGATAGTTAGTAGATACTTAGTTGTTAGTTAGTATATAAATACAACGTCCCCCTACTGTTTCTGACCTCATCTACCAATTCCTTGACTCCATTCCAATGATCGAATTTCTTGATATTGGCGTTTCATATATAGAGATAACTGAAAAGCATTAATTAAGCATGATATTATTAATAAATACATATAGAAAATGACAAATTAAATTGAAAAGCCAATTAACTTATGTGCTGTGAATAATATCGTTAAGCATTGAAGGAATCTACAAGTCGAAATATAATTCCCAATTTAGCGAACAGGTCCATTTAATAGTCGACCCTTTTTGGGCCGTTTTGCACTGCATGCTCCAGCTCGGCATACCTTTCAAATTACTTTTGGTAATTGCCGAGAGCAAGCGAAAAATAGAACATATTGCTGAAAAGCTCATAGCAGGCGCATAATGTTGTTGGCCTGACCCCGCCGACAACCCCAGCGGTCAGAAGACTGGGACAGGCACTGGAACTGGGCACAGAGACAACAGTTGGTGTCTGACAGCAACTTGACGATGACGATGACGATGAGTTGGAGTTGGAGTTGGAGTTGAAATTGTTTTTGTAGTTGGAGCAACCTGCCTGCTGTTTTGAAATTGCCAATGCGCATGCGCACCGGGGCAACAATTTCACATTTAATGATAATAATGATGGCGATAATAGGCTAAAATTAGTTAAACACGAATTATAACAAAAAACGACAAGACAACACAAAAGGGTTTCTACACTGCGAGGGAGCGCGTTGAACGAACGAAAGAGACAAAAGATGAGACAGACGGCGAGTGATAGAGAGGGGGAGATCAGCTCTCAACTATTTCCTCCAGCGACTTAAGTGCCGCCAGCTGTTGTTGCTTAGCTGCTGCTGGCGAGATTGGCTCAGCCAGGGCGAAATTACTCGACTTGGCCAAAGTAAAGTTGGCCAACTAATTTGGCTCAGGTGGCGCGCAGGCGCAAGCGCAAACGCAAACGCAAACGGAACAAATTTATAACAATTTACTGATCGCTCGACCGAAATTGGGTTCCATATGGCTATGTGATTGAAATGCGCTTAACTGCAATATTAAATAATAATAAAAATGCTTACTGGCCGGAAATATATACCTTAGCCATTCATCCAAAGCCCTGACCCAGCCAGCAGACGATGGTAATGCCTTTAATCGTAATGTGCAGCTCAAGCATTTTTGTCACGTTCAAAAATGTTAAGCAATTTTGTTTGACCAAGGAATTCCGTATTGTCTTTGAGCCACTTTATGGCTACTTACTGCATTTACGATTTTGGGCTTGGTTACTTTTGGCCTGGACCTTGCTTCATTTTTATTTGTCAACCGAACTTTGAAGTCGCCGCTTCAGTCGAGCTATTAATGAACGAACGCCCTGTTTAACGAGTTGGCTCCTCATCAGTTAGACGGGGCTTAGCTCCAATGATGAGCTGCTGTCTGACTGACCACACACAATTGACTCAGTGTTGCTTCCAAGCAGCCCACTTTAAACTCTCGACAAGCTGACAATGAACTTAGTCCATAAATTGCACTCGAAGACCACCCATACTTAGAGTAAATGCATGATAAGAGATATATTTATGTGGGCGCCTTTATGGAAGACAAAAGAAACCTAAAAATAGCATAAGTACGTTTTGAGAGAGCTATTTAAACAACTATTATATGGAGTAGAGTTCTATTATTTTATAAAGCAGCTTTAAATTAAAAAAAATATTTAAAATAATATCAAATTGATTTCACTTCAATAAATAGTCCATACAAAACTCGAACTAAATATATAAATATTATATTTAAATATATAATATTAAATTAAAAAAAGTTTATAGTAAAGTTTCTCCATATTTTAAATAATGTACACAAAGCTATTTCTCTAATGCAGTTGTACTCTCGTTTGGCTCTTGCTTGGCT